TGCGATAGGTAAAGGAAAAAGAAACTGATACTGGTGCACAGAGGTGCGTATGCCTGAAACTGATTTGAGCAACGTCATAAACCTTTACCCTAATAGTCGACGTGCATTTTTAAAATGCTGGTTCGCGAACGTGCATTCTATGTTGACAACCGGCATTTCAGGCTCTCAACTAATGCCTTTTAAAGTTACTAACATAAACCAGTGAAGGTTTCATGGCACTTTCACCATGTTGATACATGATACATGTGGTACATCTTTGAATGTGACTGGAAAACCCAATAATTTGTACCCAATCCTTCCCTTCTTTCTTCACCTCGAACCTGGCCATGTTGCATGGATGGTGCTGATCTTCGTCTTTTTGGCTTCTGGGAGATAGCATCAGAATGTTTTTTTTCAAGTCTGTTTGTTCGTTTACCAGGAAATTGGTCAACTGGTGGTGCAGCGCCACCACAAACCATCATTCCAACTTCCACCTAAGGTTTGTGGATTGTGGTGGCAGCATATGGCAAAAAGAGCCCTGTCACGGAGTCAGACTCTGAGTTGTTGGCAAGTAGGTGGTTTCTCACCCCACTGTGTCCAAACCGCCCCATGATCTCCGCCTCAGGATGCCTATTGGATGACGATGACTATCTTATTGATCCTTCATCGCATCATCGAGAGCCCAAAGGACCACCGCTTCTTTGTTTCCGTGCCACTTGCAGGTGGTTTGCACCTAAACTTGCATTGGATTGCACTGGCATTGATTGCTGGCTTGGCCATGTTTGGGCCCATGCAATTTATCAACAACAGAACTGGTACCAACACTTTCAACAAACGACATGAACATGGCGCATTCACTGCATCCACTGAACTTTTGGGTACCAGCTTTTCTCCTTTGGAGCTCAAAGCCATGGCCAAGAATAAGCAAAGTGAGAAGAACATCCAGGTTCTGAAAGTTTCTTTCATGCAATGCATGCATAGCAGTGTGTGCATGTATGTGTGAGTTGTCATCTGCCAATTTAAGTCGAATTCGTTGGGTGTACATGGAACTGAGGCTTTGTACAGTGATCTCCTGGCCAAGAAGAACTATGTGGCGGAACGGAGGGCCCTACTGCGTACAAGGTGCGGGCTCAAGAAGAGCGACCGACGTGTGCTACAGCTGCACTGGTATCACTAGGGATGTCATGATCATGATCATCATGATGAGTGCATGTGTGTGTAACCAGCGCTTCCTTTGAACAAATTCTGAGGAACCCAAGTGGACCTTTGTGAATATCCCTCCAAATGGGAAAATCACTGAGGATGAGGCCTGGGTTTCTTTATATATTCAGCCAAGTGGACATTCTGTGCTTGTGCTTCCAAGCTCTAGATGTGAGGTTGATATGGATGACAACTTCGAGATCATGCTGGCACTCTTGGCGCAGTTCGGGGGATCACTACCCACCCAAAGCGAGGTTAAGGCCAGTTTGTCGTTGGGGATCTGGAGAATAGGGTGTGTGCTTTTTTTGTTTTCATTAGCAAGACTTTGAGATTGGAAGAACTGTGAGTTCATCCTGCTGAACCAATCTCTCAGGCTGCTTTGCGCTGGGCGAGCATCCACTACTGCCTGAACAAGTTCGAATCTGGGGACGAGCATGAGGTACCTGGCTTGAGGAACCTGAAGTTTGTCAATAGATCTGGATATCTTTGGATGTAAAAACATGTTGGCAATGGATACCAGTTTTTTTTCTCCTAGGCCTGGGCAGACACCGAAGCAGGATATCACCGTGGTTTGGTGATGTATGTGCAAAGGCGCTACCAAAGCAATCCTGATGGTGCTCGGTGTCATGGCTGCACTAGACCTGGATCACTCTGTGCAGAATATTTTTACACGAAAGTCTCAAGCAGTGTACAGTAACTAACTTCCTTGAGATCAATATTTCACTAAGATCTGGTCATGGAAATATGCAGACCTTAAAGGACATCTTGCGCAAGAAGCTGGAAGTGCTTTGGCTTTGGTTTTATTTGATCATGAGCCTTGCTCTTTTGGTGTATATTATCATCCCAATCACTGGAGCATTTCACCCAGGCAAGTGGGCAAATCACTCCATCAGGCAAGAAGAGAGCTACGAGGGGAAGGTCAGCGTCAGGCAGTGCATCTGCCTCGAAAGGTGAGGAGAGGGGGTCCAAATTCCAAACCAACACTTTCAAGCAAAAAAATCCAGTGAGCATCAAATGGTATTTTAGAATAACTATAAGTAAATATAGATTTGGGGTTTGGGCCAATGGGCCTTCAACCAATCCCTGCCAACACCAACCCTTCCAGGAGGTCCCCAAAGCAGATCCCAAGCGCACCACATCTCCTCCTGGAATCTTGAAGCGGCGACTCTTTCCTGAAGATGCAGCGGAGCAAGTGCAAGAAGCCGCTGAGAAAGGAGAGGAGGAAGTGCCTACACATGACGAGGAGGTTGATGTTTCAGCGGAGGAGGAAATCCCTGCAACCCAGGCAGACGTTGAGGTTTCTGGGGAAGATGTGGAAAGCCCGGGTGCCAACGACAAAGGGACCTTTCAGGCCAGG